AAAAAAAAAAAAAGATTATTCACTACTTAATAACCAAGATTAAGTGAAAAAAAGCAAGATACAGGAAAGCATGTACAATATGATACCACTTATGTAAAAAATATATAGATATTAATAGGTGTAACAGTGAACAATGCTGGGTGCATTTCAAAATCTTTTAGCAATACACATTGTCATTTATGCACATTTAATAAAGAACATATAAAAGTAAAAACATATATAGATAGATAGATACACACACACATTAATATAATCCTACAATATCTCCAGAAAAATACACTAGGCATTGGTAACAGTTGCCTAGATGAACCAGCAACAAGAATAAGAGAAAACTTTTATTTTTCAAAGCATATCTTTCTGTACTTTTTGCATTTTTTACCATGTTCTTATATTACCCATTTGAAAATAAGACCTTTTTAAAATTAAGAAGTATCTTGTAAAAGTCACCAAAAGTCAAATATAAAAGTCACATTATAATTTATACATAATCTTGTGGCTCAATAGTTAAGTCATCAAAATTTACAACAGAAACTGGGTCCCTTGCCTTCCTTAAAAACAATTACATATTACAAAAAACTAAGTGTTTCAGCTACCTATCTGCAAGCAATCTCTTTGCCTAAAACATCAAAGTCTCCACAAGACAGCAAAAGGAATGCAGAAGGAAATGAAACCAATTCTAAGGCCCTGTTATTGGATTTGCCAAGGAAATAACTGAGGATGACAAAATATTTCTGCAGAAGAGAACAAACAAAAAAACAATGAATTTATATTTCATACTCATATTCTTTGGCTTTTAAATAAAAGCAGCCTTGAGGGAATTTATATCAAAGACTGAAAGAAAGAATGCAACAAACACATTATCTTTACTCCTAGACATTCTAAAATAACGCCAGCCCAAAATACACTGAAAACCCTCCCCATAACAATAATGGAGGGGTATAGGTTATAAAGAAAAACACATTAGGCTTTTTCTACAATAAGACAGGCTACTACACTATTAAAACAAAACCAAAAATAATTGTTCATATTTTGCCTTGGGCAAGAGCAAGCAAGAAACGGTTTGTGAATCAACCTTGCTATTCATACCAAAGATGTTCTGTACCTCAAAACATTCTATATTCCCCCCAATAATCCACAATAACATAACATTTTAAAGTTACTCATGTTTAACGTTTATTATCTCTTGGGGGAAATGAGCTGCAAACATTTTATACTTCTTATACTTTCCTATTATTTGTTCCAAATTTACCTCTTTCATATACCACAAAATTAGATACCCTAGTTTTATTAAGAAAAAGTCTAGACATAGATCTGCAATCCTCTTTTACTCATGTCTTAATCACAGTCCTTGATCAAATTCACTATGCTTTCAGACTGAACTCTACTAAATCTTTTAGTCTGTTCTTCATATGGAAATTGCTTTATTGCTTTGATCATTTCAGTTAACCCTTTCTGAATCTTCCTATTCCAAACAGATGTTTTTTGAAATACAGTAACCAGAGTGCAGAAGCATCATTTTACAGAACTCACATTTTCTGTTTGGTTGATAATACTATCCTCGGAAGTACAAATTATGTCAGATGATTCATTTATTCCCCCTTCACTCTTCATATAACTATTAAATGACTATAGTAGGCTTACCTATTTGACATGCTATGTTCAAGAACCTATATGATGAGTTCCAGACCCACTACCTTATAAGTACAGTTTAGATTGTTTTTAAGTAGTTAAACCCACTTACCCAAACACAAAGCTTCACGAGTTAATTCCACAACTGACCTCCATCAACTTGAAATTTTATTACCTACAAGTATTTTGTATCATCTATAAATCTGATTTTTTATTTCTCTATTTTTTTTTAAATGTTAAAATAAAACTGCATCCCCAAGCACCCACTCCTGGAAGGTCCCACTATTTAAATTTCTATATATTGGCAGAGCCCGTGCCTCAGTCAGCCGGGTACCAGCCACATACAATGAGGGTGGCGGGTTCAAACCTGGCACAGGCCAGCAAATGACAACTGCAACAAAAAAACAGCCAGGCGTTGTGGCGGGCACCTGTAATCCCAGTTACTTGGGAGGCCGAGGCAAGAGAACTGCTTAAGCCTGGGAGTTGGAGGTTGCTGTGAGTTGTGATGCCACAGCACTTTACCAGGGGGACAGCTTAAAACTGTCACACACACACAAAAAAAAAACACAAAACTTCTACATGTTGGCCAGCAAGGTGGCTCACACCTGTAATCCTAGCATACTGGGAGGCTGAGGCAGGTAGACTACCTGAGGTCAAGAGTCTGAGACCAGCCTGGCCAGAGTCAGACCTCATCTCTAAAAATAGCCAGGCATTGGCTCGGCGCCTATAGCTCAACCAGCTAAGGCGCCAGCCACGTACACCTAAGGTGGCGGGTTCGAATCCCCAGCCCGGACCCGCCAAACAACAATGACGGCTGCAACCAAAAAATAGCCGGGCGTTGTGGCGGGCGCCTGTGGTCCCAGCTACTTGGGAGGCAGAGGCAAGAGACTCGCTTGAGCCCAGGAGTTGGAGGTTGCTGTGAGCTGTAATGCCACGGCACTCTACCCAGGGGGACAGCTTGAGGCTCTGTCTCAAAAAAAAAAAAAAAAAAAAATAGCCAGGCATTTTGGTTGGCACCTGTAGTCCCAGCACTTGGTAGACTGAGGCAAGAGAATCACTGGAGCCCAAGGGTTTGAGTTTGAGGTTGCTGTGAGCTGTGATGCCACTGTGAGCTGTGATGCCACAGTACTCTACTAAGGGCAATAAAATGAGACTCTGTCTCAAAAAAAAAAAATTTCTACATGTAAAAAGTAAGCAAATAGTCTTAACCTTTGATTCTTTCTCTAAGCCATTTCCTTACTGGATAATGGTAATCTCATGTCATATATAAATTACTTTTTTCTTCAACTGTTCTTGCAATGGAATGCTAAGGTCCTTTCAACCATAAAGAAGGAATACCTCTACTGGTTACCTTTATCCACATACTTACTTTATCCTGACATCTGATAGCACTTGGTGGCCTCTTCCTCCCATAGGTTAGACTTAACTTAAATTCAATAATGTTATTCTTTTATTAAAGAATATCTGAACTTGCCTGATACAATAATGAAGCAAACTAATTTATAGCTCCAAGGGTCCCTTTCACTATAGTGAATGTTCGTGATGATAATTACATATTCACATTTTGGTCCATCAATGTACTACTTAACTCTTCAGAGCCTTAACAATTCTAATAACACATTCTACAAATTTTACCTGAGCCCAATTCTCTGATTAGGTTTGGTTTCCTTTGATCTGCTTTAAACAACCAGACATTATGTGTCACCCAGTGGGATGCAATAGGAAATAGATAAAACCATTAATGAAGTATTCTTGCTACAAAGATTGAGCCTAAATCCAATCAGGAAGGAAATACAGATACAAAAATATATGCTAAGTGACATCGTAGAGATGCAGTCAATAAAACCCAGGAAGAAAACTTTTCAAGGAAAAAAACCCTGCAAGTAAATTAGAAAAAAGGAGGAAGTTTAAGTCTACATATTAGAAGAGCAGATTACATATTATATTATTCCATTTACGTGAAATGTCCAGAATAGAGACAGAAAGTAGAGGAATTGTTGCCAGGGGCTGGGAGGAGAATGAAATGGGGAGTAACCGCTAATAGGTATAGGGTTTCTTTTTGATATGATGAAAATATGTTGGAATTAGATAGTGCTGATATTTGCACAATTTTGTGAATATACTAAAAAGCTCTGGGCTCGGTGCCTGTAGCTCAGTGGCTAGGGCGCCAGCCACATATACTGAGGCTGGCAGGTTCAAACCGGCCTGGACCAGATGAACAATGACAATGACAACTACAACAAAAACAAAAACAAAAATTGCCATGTGTTGTGGAGGGTGCCTGTATTCCCAGCTACTTAGGGGGTTGAGCCAAGAAAATCGCTTAAGCCCAAGAGTTTGAGGTTGCCGTGAGCTATGACACCATAGTACACTACCCAGGGCAACATAGTGAGACTCTGTCTCAAAAAAAAAAATTAAATAAAAAGCTCTTAAGTGTATACTGGAGAAGGGTAAATT